AATCTACTGGAGAAAAGGGCCCATTTATCCAAAATGACTACAGAAAGACTGAGATCCCTGTGCAGTACATATATATTTACTTGTAGAAGTCAGGCTAGGAAAAGGTTCTAAAGAAAACAATATAGAAGATTTTTTTATGTTTACGTTCTGAAAACATAAACATAACCATAAAAAAAATGGAAGAACACATGCAAAAACAGCCTCTTTTCACAATCACACTACATGGACCCCGCTTTTGCTAACTCAGGCTCCTGTGGGTCCATGTGAGTGGTGGAAATGAGCATAGCAGTCCTTCACTGATCCTTTCAGCTACCTAAGGTCAAACAAGGTCTGAAAACATCCAATGAAAAATTTCAGAAATAAAATGCCTATAATTTTAGCCTGAATGTGCCTCATCCCTTTGCCCAGGTCATATACACAGCACATTAATGCCACAGGTCACCGCAGCCATCTTGGTCATTAAAAGCATCGTAAGGCTTGCATTCCAGCAGCCAAACCCTCCCATCCCATCTCCTCGGGGAGAAACACAGAAGGGTGAGAATATTGCACTAAATTATTCTGAGACACAGAAATTCACTAAAAACTATTATATTATAGCATAACAACGTTATAGCATATTGTTAAAATTGTTTTATTATTGCTGCTAATTTCATACTGTGCCTAGTTTATAAGTCTAAATTATCGTAGGTGTGCATCTATAGAAATGAAGATTACACACGGGCTAAGCACTATCTGCAATATCAGACCTTCGCTGGAGCACTTGAATTTCTCTACCAACGCTGGAATTAGACGGCATTCTTAGCATCTCATACTGACTGAGTCCTGAGCACAACTCAACATGGAAAAAGGTGCGACAAGAGACAGTGGCACAGCAGACAACGCCATAGTTGCAAATGTATTTAACCCATAAAGTAGTTTATCCTTTCTACAACGTCATAACACACACACACACACACACACACACACACAATATATCATTATTTCTTCCTAGTTCTACTCAAAAAAAGTTTAAAAACAATAGCCAGCATAATAACAAGCATCCCTAGCATATGAGCTTTATCTTGAAATATCGCTTCCATCAATAAAGCCAGGTCCCTCGAAGAAATGACTGATTCCAGGACTGGAGCTGGAATCTCTACAACAAGCTTGGAACATTTGTGATACTAAGCAGTGAGAAAGCTATTGAAGTTTACAACGGTTTATCCCATACAGGTCTAAGGAGCAGCCTCAACATGGGAAAGATGGGAAAATTTGAGTCAATAAAGTCAAACCACAATGCATTAAAACACATAAAGTGAGCAAAGCTAAGTGTTCATAAGTGAATAAGCATTGAGTGGCCAAGAGGAAACCACTTCATTACAAGAAGTGCTAAACAAAGGGAAAGCCTCAACTGTGCTTTATTTCCTAAATGAAATGTACCAATGGGGAGCCAAACAGAAGAAAAATTTCTCTTACAAAAGAATTTAAGCAATAAATGAAGCAATGAGGACAGATTATTACCATCATCACCAATCCCATCTCCTAATGAATTAACGGGCCCGAGCATTAAGCACTGGTAGCTACTGACATCAATATACCAGTGATATCCATTTGTTTCCTGATAAAAGAACATCACCATCACCCCCAAAGTTAGGATGCCAAAAAAACTCACAAGAGGTGGGGGGAAGGACAGAGCACAGGAATCCAATCAGTAACTCCAGCTGCGTGAAGCCCTGTACCACATATAATTCCAGTTCTTCCAAAAATAAAGGGGAAAAGAGAAGTAATGTGAAGAACACTAGACTCTATAAAACTTCTCGAAAACAGAACAGAAACCACAGTGCTACAGGCAGACACCTGAGAGAAAAACAAGGAAGTATTTACCATCAAAGACATTTCTTTGGGGAAGTGGACGAAAGCTGCGATTGGGATGGGCCATGTGGTCGGCAGAGTTCTGCTTCTCAGCTGAGATGGTGCTCAGGAGAGTGCCATCTGATTCATTACGGCTATTTTGCTTGACATATTTTGCTGGAATGGGTAATATTTTATCTTTTTAAACATTAAAAAAAATTCCTACTAAAATTGACAATGACCAACGGATCAAAACTGGAAGAAATCTTCACATTCAACACCCTGGCCTCCTCCCTACCTCTGCAAAAAGAAAAGAACTCCTAAGCAAAACCTAGTTCATATGCTGCAAACTATTAGTAACCGTTTTAGATTATTACTTTTGCTTTTTATAGATAATTCTTACATAGTATGTATTAAAGAAATGAGCTTTTTATAAGTAGTAGCCCCAATTCGTCTTTACTTTTTGTGTTTACTTTTATAGCTTTTGAATTTCATGTCACCTTTAGAAATACCTCCAAGTCGAAAAAAAAATTTTTTTAGTATCTCCAAGTTTTCCTCTGGTTATTTTATGGCTCATCTTTTACTTTAACATTCTGATCTGCTGGCCTTTATTTTGGTATAAAGCACAGGGGAGAGGTCCGCTTTTAGAGGCGGTTATCCAGCTTTGCTGCTTTTCCTTCCCCGTCGCTCATATGCATAATGGCAAATTGGCATGCAAGGAACTTAACCATAACATAGCCGACCCAAGTGAACCGAAAGTATTCATACGAAGTGGTCACATGGAGGTCTTAGACTACCAATGTCTTTGCAAAATCAAATTTTAAAAAGTGGAAAAATGGTTTTATACTCAAAACTAACTCTGCCTTAGGTTAAAGCTCCCTCACACCTAGCTCTGCTCCACATGAATGTTAAGAAGCCACTGAAACACAGCTCTGACAGAGGCCCCTATGACAGAGTACATTCCTGTCAAACATGCTGATGCAAAACTCCCGCCAAGCGGGGGTCCTACTGAAAAAGGATGTAAGTGGCCTCCCTGTGAGAGCCCCGCCATGGTAGGTGGCTTTGCATGGCCGCTCCAAAGCACAGGGAGAGCTTCTGCTCAGTGGAGGAACCAACCACACACTGACAAGGGAACTTCTCAAGGTACTGAGGGGCACAGAAGAGTGAAGGAAAGGTAGCTGGTATACCGCACACTGACACAGGTCAGCTCTACATGACAGAGGCCTAGAAAATGGTTATACCTGGTGATAGATTCCACTTGCTATTATTTTGAAACAAAACTGGTATTTGTAAAATTGGTCTGTAGATTAAATTGCTTCTATTATATTTATGATACCAATACGCATTCATTCCCACTCCCAAAAAAAAAACACCTAAGAAGCATCTCTTTTACCATAACCTAACACATTAAAGCATCAGAAGAGTGACTGTTCCTTAAAGGCTTTAAAGACTTCTATTGTCAAAGTCCAATAATACCAAGTGTTGGTAAGAAGGCAGAACTGGAACTCTCAGACACTGTACACCATGCCAACTATTCCCACCAGTCGGATTGACATTTTTTTTTTTAAATTTTATTTATATTTGTGTGTGTGTGTGTGTGTGTGTGTGTGTGTGTGTGTGGCCAGCTCAGTCCACCAGGGGGCGGGGCGGGCTGGCACGTGGTGCTGGGGGATTGAACGGCGGTCCCTGTGCTTTGCTAAGCTTGTTCTAAGTAGGTGCTTTAGACCACTGAGCCATCTCACCAGCCCCAAGTCGGCTTGACATTAATGCTAACCAGTCCAGCAATTCTACTTCTTGTACCTACGACAAATGAAAATGGATGCACCTAATGAAACCAACATAGGGCTAGCAGATGCAGAGAACAGTTAGTATCTCCCAGGCTGAGGCACAATAGCCAAGAAAGGACCACTTCACTGGCAGGCTGCAGCACAGCCGTCTGGGTGGCAGAGTTCTCTGGAGGGCGGGCAAGGGATCGAGCTAGAGCCAGTCCACTGTAGCCTACCCCCCACAGTACAGTGGCAGCAAGAAGCTGCCTATTACAGAGCTAATGAAACTCACAGGAGAGTGAGTACAGCTACCAGCACACCTTAAGGGAAGAGAAAAAGAAGCAAGATACTGCAACAGCAAAAAAGCCCCTTCCCCTGCTATATCCAGTATGAACCCTTTTGCCTTCCCCTGGCACAATCATACATTATTCTACAAAGACAAAAATGTTTACAGGCCTAGTTCAAACATTACCAACGAAGAAGGGTAAATTTAGAGTTGAGAAATGATAAACTGATAATCACACACATCTGTATAGACTGATAAATTTTTATGAATGCATAATCCTTATGCAACAATGATATAGAACATTTTCATAATATCATAAAGTTCCCTAAAGCGCCTTTCTGCTGACACCCATTCCTTCTTCCAAACAAAGCCTCAGCCCTGTGACATTCCAGGGGTGCCCCACTTGCTTAGGGGGATACTTCTACCAACTTTTTCTGAGATGCATGTCTAGACCCAAGGCTCCCTGGCAGCACTTCCCATCCCCATGTGACCTCCACTGTCCTCAAGGCCTCTCTTATTACCTCGGCAAAGGTTACAGGAAGTCCCCCAACATGAAATCTGTGCTTCTTAATCTCCTTGTTGCTTTTCAGGCAATTTCTGCAAAGAAAGAGGAATTATTTAAAACCATAAGTATCTGCTCACAAAAATAACCACAAGTACTTGCCTTAGTTGGTTATTGAGTGTTCTAAAGAACTTAAAATTCATTTGAATCAAACAATCACCCCAGTACAATACAAGTTCCTTTTAATAATGAAACCAGTGTCTGTGTTACGGTTTCTATTAAAGAATACACTGAAAGGGTACAACCCGTAACCAAAGTAAATCTTTCTGCACAATTTCAGGCACTTGGCTCAAATCTACTATTATAGTAGTCAATGCAACAAAAAGGGATTCAGAGAAAAGAATAAAGTTTATCATAATACATTACATAATCTGACTACTTCTTTCCCTCTGATACTAAATGAAATGCAGATGCAACTGAAAAACGCATCAAAATGCAAATCAATACTGCCCTTTGCTGAAATCACTCGCTAGTATATCCCATATTAGCATATTCACCAAAATTTAATTGTAAACAGAATAATTATGGTACTAAAGTTATTAAATACACAAAGCAAGCTTGGAACTATACATATTCAAATAGAATTTCAGTGGCAGATCAACTTTTATATCTGAAACAATACCCTAATTAATAGTCAGCTCTAATGATAAAACGGTCCTGTTTTTCAGATAACATTCCAAAAAAAGTTCTGCTATGAATATTAAAATAAACTTTTGTGAATAGATTTTAAAATTTCAATAGCTATATTTATCACAATACGGTACTGTATTTAGACAACTGGCATTTTTTCAAGTCCTGGATTCAAATTTGGAATATTTTTAATCTGCTGAAAAGAGAAAAAAAAGCTTGACTGAATCACAACAATGACACTTAACAGACTTAATGAGCTCTATGAATTCATCACACTCATTTGGGAAGTTACGATGCCATAGGAAACTCATTATACTCAAGTGACTACTCATAAATCTTCCTAAGTAGGTATGCCTGTAAGTTCCTTTAGGGGGTGTATATTTGCACGCCGTTTTCTTTCAAGTTACAAACTTCTCTCATACGCTGTACACTGTATAGAAACACACTGACTCAAGAGTAACTCAGGACAGGCTGAACTCAGCGTTTTGGCAACAGCAGCTCATTGCTACTTCTCACGGTAGCCTTTTCTCGCGCGCCCTCCACGTATAGTTAATGAAATCCTTCTCCTAGTCAAAGGTCTAGTCTTCAATCAGCTATCACTTCTGAAGTATTTTTCATAATTCTCATGGCACATAAGAAAGCTCCCTAAAAGTTTAGAAGCTCTCTGGATGCAAGAACTGTCTTAACCACAATACATTATACTTTGTAGGAATTCAATAAATTTCCACAACCAAACAGCTTTATGCTTAACTATATAGATCACCCTACCACCACTCCTTTTGAAGTTCTGCCTCATTCCCTGTAACACATATGTTGAATTGTTTATTTTCCTCAAGACTATAATTCGCCTCCTAAGTCCTAAGTCTCCTCAGATGACAAACTAGTTTAGAAAGAAATAAAAAAAAAAAAAACACATTAGTTTCAAAAGGAAATCCTCTTACCTTTTCAAAACCAATCTACAAACCACCTGCACGCACCCACTTCAAGCCAACTGAGGGTCCAATCCAGCTTCCTTGGCTCCTGTCACAATGTAAAGAAGCCGTCCTCCTATCACACATCAAGTCCTTCACGCTCACCTTATCCTCTGTCCCCTCCAATCTTCTCGTCTTACTATTAATCGATCATCTGTCACGTGCTCAAGCGTTTCCCCACACTGCAACCTCCCAAGCAGCTTTCCAATAGCCTCATGGCTTTCCTATTCAAAAATAAAGTTTTTAAACTCCCCTCTACTAGCGTCCTTTCTTCTCCTTTCAGTGTCAAATATTTCAATAGCCACCTGTACTTACCAACACCTCCTCTCTTCTCACTCAGCTTACTCCTCCTGGACTCCACCCTCACAACTTCCCTCAACAGCTCTTGCTAAGATCAGCAGTGACCTCCACAGCACAAAGCCCAGCTAACATTTTCAATCACCTCTCATTTACCTGCTCAGCAGCACTCAACACTGCTGCTTATTCTGTCTTGAAACGTTTTCTTCCTTTCACTTTCATAATACAACACTATACTGATTTCATTCTACCACTTAGGCCACTCACAGTTCTAGATAGCAGCAATCTGGAGGTACAACAATGGTAACAGCTCATTCTTTCAAGGAGCTTGATAGAGACTTCCAGGGTGGTGCCATGTTTAAAAAGCAAATACATTTCTGGTGGTTACACCAAAATAGACACTTCATGAGAACAAATTATTTTTTGAAAAATATTCTGTTAAGTAAAATTAAGATCCTTGGAAATTAAAACAGAGGCATATACTGAAAACAGAACTGACTTTATATGTTCATTCCTTTAAGCTATCTCAAAAAATATGCTTATAATCTCCAACAGAGATATGTACCCGCTGGTGATCAAAACAGTACTCTTAACACCAGCCACATGTCTATTAAAGGATGAACAGATAAAAGATGGACACTTATACACAATGGCATATCAGTCGGCCTTAAAAGGAAGGAGACTTACAGCACACGCTACAACATGGATGAACCTTGAGGACATCATGCTAAATGAAATAAGCCAGTCACAAAAAGATAAATACTGCAGGAGTCCACTTAAAGGAGGTACATAACATAGTAAAATTCATAGAGGCACAAAATAGTAGTTGCTATTAGCTAGAGAGAGAAGGGAAAGGAGTTATTTAATGATACAAAGTTTCAAGTTCACAAGATGCAAAGTTCTAGAGATCTGCTTTCCAATGTGAGTACACTTAACGTTACTGAACTGTACGCTTAAAAATTATCACAATACAAAACAAAACAAAGTTTCTAGACACAATAGGTAAAATAAATTAAGTTGAACAAAATAATCACCAATCTTCTATGACTACTCACTTTTAACCTCCACATATAATTAGAAAAGCATTCAAGTGATATCTTTCAAAGATGCTAATTACATAATTCTACAAGTTATCATGGTAATAAACATTAACTGTGAATCTGGTGAATTTATAAAGACTAACAATGTCATAGTTCATCCATTTACTCTACAAATACTTATTCATAGTCTCTCCTGTGCCAAGTACTAAAAATGTCCTACTTTTGACATATTCAGCAGGAAGACAGATAATAAAAACATACCTGATATTTTAGAAAACGCACTTAATACATCTTTTTTAAAAAGTAAAGCAGATAAATGGGAACAGAAGAAGGGTGCACAGAGACGCCGAAGGCGGCTTCCCAAAGTAGAGAGGAGGCGTGGTCGGCCCTTCCGGAGTCAGGAGCCACTCTGGGTGTCGGGAACACAGTGCGCCGGCAGAAGCCAGGCTGTGAGAGACCCTGCAGAAGCAGCAGGCCGGCGCCCCGAGAAGGCAGGCCGGTGTGGTGCTGGTGGGGGGAGGGGGAGCACACAGTGACAGACACTGCAGACCCCTGAAGGCCACCATCAGGCTGTGGTGAAGGGTAACCTAACTTCTACAAGGTTTTGGAACATCTATGATACTTGCATTGAATTCATAATTTTTAAACCAAAACAAACATCATACTCTAAACACCCAAGTCAAGAATTTTCCCACTGACCTATTTCTTACCGGGATTTTTACGTCTGATATTTTTTTTCTAATTTGTTTTATTAGTTAATTGTCAAAATACATTTCATCTATAAAATGAACTCTACACACTTCAATCCAAACTTTTTTTTTCTGTATTTAAGACAGGGTCTACAGGGTCACACTATGTAGATCCAACTCAGTGAGTCTCCTGTTTTCAGCCTCCCAAGCGCTGGGATTATGGGCGGGTGCAGGCGCCACCACGCCCAGTCTCAATCGCCATCTCAGCCCTGGGGGGTGGGGCAGGGCGCTGTGGCATGCTGCACTCACATCCCTGAATCCAAACTTCTAAATGCTCCTATAGTGTCTGTCATGGAAACTCACTTTAGTCCAAGTGGCTTTATGATGGATCAAATTCCACCCCTAAAAAGTAGAGGACAAGACAAAGTCCTATTCTCCTTTTGACTTAAATACTAGTAATTTGGTAGCACTATATGAGCAAATGGTGTGTAGTTTTTGACAAACAATACGAACATTTTTACTATGCTATATTCTTTTTTAAATTTAAAATAAAATACTGGGTTTCCCTGGAATGCCATGTTTTACCATGTATATACTGTCTGCTGCATTAATTCATTTGCTCAACAAATATTTATTGACAACATACTGTGCCAGGAGCCATATTAGAAGACAAAGCAGTAAACAAAGCAGAAAAAAGTCCTGCCTGCATGGAGCTTACGTATTCAGGAGAGAGAAATTTTAAAAATCAAAAGATGTCAGATGCCTAAGAGTAGTAGGAGCTGGGGTGGAGCAGGAAGGGGGTCTGTTAAACCACAGAAAGTAACATTTCAGTCAAGAAAATACAGTGAGAGCAGACAGCCATGCAGGAGCTTCTGACCAGCAGCCCACAATGAAGGAGCACATGCACAGGTGCAAAGGCGAGCACAGAGTAAGGAGGCTGCGAAGTGGGGGCGACACCGGCCAGGGCCCAGGGCAAAAGGCCACAGGGGCGGGAACACGGCCCACGCACGGGTCACGTGAGGGCCAGCGATGGAAGGTCTTGGACAGACAAGTGACATGCTCTTACTTGCATTTTAAACAGATGTCTTGGGTTGATACATAAAAACTAGACTGTGGGGAGCAAGGCAGAAACAGCTATCAGTTGTTACAATCGCACTGCTACTAGAATAAGCAACAGCTGCATCTATCTTTATTAAACAATAAGAATGTCAATTTGTGTGAAATGACTCCACTAAGTAGAGGGGTACTGAATAATCTGAGTTTTTTTTAACTTTGCACAAGCTGCCCTCCCCCTCAAAAATCAAGTGCTACGTAGAAACAACTGATATTAGTGACAGACGGCCTAGGAAGCATGCGAACCATCTCCTACTCTAAATTTTCTAAACTCTCTTTATTGCAATTTAGTTCA